CACACAAAAGTACAGAATATCACGTTGATGCAGTACGACAAAGCAGTAGTGAAGGAGAGATAAAACTGGGGTCCATTAATGTAAAGAGAAATAATTTTGATTCAAGATTTTTAAATCTAAATATATTTAATTTATTCAGCCCATTATGCACATAAAGGTTCATACAAAATATGCCAAAAATACTATTATTTTTATTAGAACTAATTTATCATAGCGTAATGACGTTTCTTTTCACAAATCCATTACTCCAAAAAATTAAGGTAGGTAAGATTTTAAACTTAAATTGTTCTTTAATCAAATGAATAATAGAGATGGAATAACAGATGATTTTAGGGGCGCCACTTACTGACTGAATATAATCAATAAATCTTTTTCATTGACAATAAATCGTTATTAATTGTTCTACATATTATACATTATCCATTTCTAATGACACTTCTTATAGCTTAAACATTTCTTGACACATACAGCACTGTGTAAAGTGTTGGGACAAGATAATATTTTGTCATTCTTTCCATTCTATGGGGTTAACTTTTCCATGCCATTACAGAATGTAAATTTCAACACTATGGTAATGCTTCACTGATCCCTGTTGGCAATTGAGCCAGTGAGAGATTATTTATCATTCTTTAGAGTTCCCATATACTTGTACCAAAGGTATGTCATAAAGGTTTTGCTTGAATGAACAAACTGATCAAATTTAGGGTCTGAAATAACTGTCATGGTACCCCATGCAGTGTCTTAACTATATAGACAGAAGCTAGTAAGGAGCTAGTATATGCTAGAAGACATCAATTTAATAGCACTCCACGAATAAACATTGATAAAAACAGTATTTAACACTATATATTAAGTTTTATTGTCATGCCACCACCCAAAAAACGTAGAGAATTGTCAGTAGAGCAGAGAGTTCGCATAAAAGCTTTACGTGATTTTGGTTGGACTCTCCGACAAATTGCTGCAAACTTGAAATGCTCCCCAAACACTGTCAAGTACACCCTAGATCGTGAGACCGAGACAGGTAAATTTTAAAATAGGAAAGGAAGAAGCAAACACCTAAACTCGATGATACTGATGTTAAGTATCTTCGTTTATGCAGCCTTCTGGACTGAAGGGAGACTGCCACTGATCTCAAGCGTGAAATAAACGACCATGTACCAAATGACAGAAAAGTGTCCAGATCTACAATATCAAGAGAATGGAATATTTGGTCGTGTAGCAGTTAAAAAAAACATTTACTTCGATCTCCAGATATTGTTAAGAGACTGAAATTTGCTAAAAAATACAAAAACTGGACTGTTGATGATTGGAAAAGGGTGTTATGGATAGATGAGTCCAAATTTGAAATATTTGGTTCAAAGCGTAGGTTGTATGTCCGGCGGAAGAAAGGTGAAAGATACTTACCTCAATGTATAGCACCTCCCATGAAGCATGGGGGAGGCAATGTGATGGTTTGGAGGATATTTGTAAAATAAATGGAATAATGGACCAGCGTAAGTACCATGAGATACTGACTCTTCATGGTATACCCAGTCGTTTGCGTATTATTGGTAAAGGATTCTACTACCAAGAAGATAATGACCCAAACACTCATCCAAACAATGCAGAAATTACTTAGCTAAGAGAGAAGTTGCTGGAGTCATTAAAATGGTGCAGTGGCCCCCACAGAGCCCCGATCTCAACCTAATTGAGATCTTAAACTTGATAAACCAAAAACTTGACAAATCAAAAGTTACTTCCATAGAAACTTTATGGGGGTGTATTACAAACATTTGTAGTAAAATTTAAAAAAAAACACTTTTATTAAATATGTTGCAACAATTCCTGAAAGACTGCCTGCTGTTATTAAAGCAAAATATTAACTGTTTGTTGAACTCCAGCACTTCCACTGAGTTTCTGTTGTACTAAATATGAAGATTAATAAAAATTTGATGTTTCACCTGTGATTTATCTTCCATTGTTCTTTCAAAGTAGTCTGAAATATTATTTTTGGCTTTGTCCTAACACTTTTGCACAGTACTGCATATGTGTGTACAGACGGAAAGATCACCATACTATGTACATCTTGCTTCATTCAGTAAATCATCACCTGGTAGCTTTGAATATCATTGACTCAGACTTGTGAACTTTACTTATAGCTTTTGATCCAGCAGTTCAGAAAAAAAAAGTACATATTGTGGAGTACGTTATATTAAAACGATTTTGAAAATGCAAATAAGCAAATCACCTGACAACCAAAACCGATATAAAGCCGCAGTGAAACGGAATGTATCAAAACTACATTTTAACATTGTTTGAGATTTCATAGATAGTGTGGTGCCACCAGTTAAACTTAAATACCCTCATATTCAAAATGGTTAAAGTTAGGACCAGTTAAATCAAACTATACGAGTCTAGTTTCAGTAAATTGTCACGAATGGCGTTGAAGTAAAGATTTTATAAATTTAATTAACTCAACACCACTGACAAGAGTATTTTAACTTCGCTGTAGATAAATAGTGTAAACTAGGTCAACGTATTATTTACATCTCGTTTTAGTAAATATATCGTTACTGCCCTCATGTCGCAGGGAGTACCTTGAGGGCTGACAACGTTAGAATTCGGAGTTGGATCTCCGCGACGGATAGAGTGTAGATAACCCGATTTACAAAACAAGGAAACAGTAAATTTTTACTTGTGATGCTAATGACTAATGACAAGGATTTTATAAACTCATTGCAGTGTCTTTAATAAATGGTTTTTAAACTAGGTTCCCATATTATGTGCATCCTGGTTTAACCACCGGTGACGCAAGCAACAAATAATTAATAAGTGATTATTTGCACGTGGTTTCAGTACAATGAGCTTCGTTATCATGTGCGTTACTATAGATTCAACGAAACGTTTAAATAGGACGCGATAACAATTAAAACAAGCAACTAATAACGTAATCGATCAATCATTACATAAGCCAGCTTACCATATTTTTCTGGATTTTTTTAATACATAAATACAACCTATGTTCTCTAAAACTTTGTGCAACACAGTCAGGGTTAATTAAGCAAATCCGTTGTGTCATTCCCTCAAAGGTTTTTTTAATTAATCAAAACAATCACATACATAACACCTCACATATTTCCTTAATAAAAACATATAATGCTATACTGTATGTAAACCATAATGATCGTAAACATTATAGCTTCATACTCTCTTTCACGATGGTAGAACGTAGCGGTGAGTTTCTTTAGAAACAGCGTAATAAAAAACATAATGAGAAAATGAGAAAACATGACTAATGCTTACACAAGGGAAGTTTTAATAATGTATTTACTTTTCTTCTATTTACTGTTGCTCAATTATCAGCTACTAGCAGCTAAATCTTTGTTAGAGGTTAATATCATAGACATCCCGCGCCAGATTTAACTACAATGTTCGTGTTATTTACTCCACATCATCATTGATAAAAATCCTCGTAATGACTAACTAAACCACGAAAACTTGTGTTATTCTCTCTCCATACGATCATGTTTTAAAATTCACTATGATGACTTAATGGTCGATATCAAAGTTAGCTGTATACCTTTGACAACTGGTGTGCTTCATTCCGTATGATCGTGGATTAAAATCCTCGGGATAACTAGAAAATTTATATTAAATGTTAGCACTTATTTATCTTTAAAATACCATCACATTTACTGAAAAACTGCATTATTAAAAATAAAAATTGGCTACTGATACTGTTATTTAGATCTTATTCTTCATAATAAAGTTAGATATTTGAACGAGTGCCTTATAGTAGCCTGATTACAGTTGTAACATTAATGATGCTGTTTCCAAGCATTTTCTGTTGTTTTGATTATAAATGGTTTTACAGGATATTTTATCCATATAGATTTCTAAAATCGAAAAGTCAACACTTAATAACACTCGCCCAAATAAAAAATTATATTTACAAACAGAGTGTTTTTGAAGTTAAGAATTATTCCGGGATCTAATGGATTTTTTGAAATTTGGAATTTTTGGATGGGGAAACGACATGTTTATTGATATAAGTTATGTAGTTTCCTAACTATTAGCAACAGCGTTTTTGCCATTTCATCACCGGAACCATAATTAACTGAATGTCTATCATTTTAGTAACTTTTGTTTTGTTGTTGTAGTTTTCAGCTTTATTAGTCCTTTTTGCGTTTAACTTAATATAATTATTTTTTTCTTGCAAATAGTTGAGCTTAAATAACTTATTTTTACTGACTGAAATGTACTGGTTGTAATATTGTGATTAGGACCATTTAGGCCCGGCATGGGCAGGTGGTTAGGGCGCTCGACTCGCAATCTGAGGGTCGCGGATTCGAATCCCCGTCCCATCAAACATGCTCGCCCTTTCAGTCGTGGAGGCGTTATTATGTGACGGTCAATCCCACTATTCGTTGGTAAAAGAGTAGCCCAAGAGTTGGTGGTGGGTGATGATGACTAGCTGCCTTCCCTCTAGTTTTACATTGCTAAATTAGGGACGGCTAGCGCATATAGCCCTCGTGTAGCTTTGCACGAAATTCTTAACAAACAAACAGGACTATGATACGCCGCTAAATACGCTCGTACTTTTAACTGGAGCGTAATAACTGTACCAATCTATTACACTGATCGATTAACGCATACGGTATGGGCTACTAACAGAATCAAAATTAGAGTAGCTTAATAACACAATATTGTTGTTCGTTTTTACAACAAATTCGTCATTGTTATTATTTTTACTGGAATTAACTTTACTATCATTCACAACAACTGGCGAACCAGCAAGGTAGTCTTCTTTTTCCCAGAGTGAGTCCAACAACCACAGCGTCAACGGAAGAAACTACATTAGTAATTTTAATAACTTATGAACAATGTCAAATTCACATTACGTCTTCATTTGTTTTTATTTCCAGCATTACCTTTAAAGTAACCCAACAATATTTATGGAAATATCATTTACTTTATATACTTTCTGTTTCATACTTAAAAAATAAATTAAAGTTACCTACCATCATAGACGACTCCGGCAACAAGACCCTGACTAATGTCCAGAAAGGGATGACTTAGTGAAATCTGGATAGATTCTTCAGTAGCTTCGGAAACGTTCTTATTCATAAGTGCATATAGTTCTTCACAATGAAAATTTGAAATATTTCCTGTCAATATTTGTCCAGGTGTGAGCAGTACTTGTTCATGAGCTTTTTTTCCAATTCTGTCCGAGTGTCCACCGTGAACGACGCAAAGAACAGTCCAAAGCAAGATGGTGAACATCTTTACAGTCTGTAGACAGCAGCAACAGGACACAGAAAGGAAACAGGCACTCTTCGTGATGATTGTTTTAACCAATACATAGAATGATTTGTCTCCATTAGGCGGATTCTGGTCCTTGTTTGGTTATCAGACCTGTCTATAAGCCTTTGATTGTGGTTGTTACCAATAGCAGAATAAGACAGCTGCTTGATCGTGGTGACGTTTTAACCAGCAACAGAATGAGACAACCGCCTGGATCGTGATGACGTTGTTACCAACAACAGAATGAGACAGCCGCCTGATCGTAGTGACGTTGTTATTAGCAGTAGAACGAGCTGAAACAGTAGGTCTTAGATTAATTCTATAATGAAGATAATATCCAATCAATCTTGAATTACGTGCAAGAGGTTTTGAAGAAATACATTCTGATGCCACCTTAGGTCTTACACAAAAGACGACCCTGCTTCTGGAACCTTCATCAGCCACGGTTCGAAACTTCGCTCTCACAATCTGAAAATTAGTTTAAATTAAAACAATTTTTCAGTCTCTTTCTGACCTAACAATTAGTAAAAATGTTTTAATAAGAATCAAGAAGGAAAAAACGAGTTCTATATTATGAAACGTGACACAAAATCAGCTAAAATGATCGTCGGAATGCTCAAGAAAAAGTGAATATAAATATTAATCTAACGAGGTCAAAGAAATCAGTCGTTCAAAATAAATGCAATCAATTCATGAGACAATACATATACGACACAATGTTAAGACAATATAATTATTCTAAGGTTCACTGATCTGTATTGTACTGTATTTAAAGAAATAACTTGTGTAAATGCATAAGAAATAATAATAACGTGTCCACATAACGAAACACAAAATATCAAAGAATTAACAAATTTAAAAAAAAACATTTAGATATCTATCTATATTTACATAGTGATCTATATACAGTATTACTCCGTCCTTTGAGAATGGCAAACTCGGTCTGTCGGAACTATTTTGTTTTTAGTTGTTGTTTTTTAATGTTTATTATTTCTTTAATATTTTTAGTATCGTTATATTTATGTCACAACTATTTTTTCGTCTACCGCAAACATGATTCTAGCTGTTTTTCCCCCCCATAAATTTCTTTGTATTACCTTTCTTATGGTGTTAGGTTTGTATTCAATAACCTCAATTTTATCCCACTGAATTTTTACTTCACTAGATTGATGTTCAGCAACAGCCAATTTTGCCTCATCATAAAAAATTAATGTAGTTTTTTTGTTTGTTGAATTTTGCGCAAAGCTACACGAGAAATATCTGCCCCTAATTTTTAAGTTATAAACTAGAGGGAAAGCAACTAGATAACTCCTCTCACCGCCAACTGTTGGGCTACTTTTGCCAGACCGATTAGTGGGATTCGACTTCACTGTTATAACGCGCCCTCATCCCTACTTTTGCCCAACTGCCAACGTTAAAAATTCGCACCTTTTTCTAAATATGTAAACTGATTTATAATTAACAATCCTTGAGTGTGTGTGACTATTCTATTAAGAATCCGCGGGAGGAATAAAGGTCCATACATGTAACCAGATTTTTTTATTTTTTTATTTTTTGGTAATTTCACCGGTTATCAAATTTAATGTATAGTTGATCGAATGTCTTTGATTTGTACATTTTTGTTTCAACAACGACTGCCCATTATCGAACACTAGTAAAGTTTCCTCGGTATTTACCGACAAAGGTAAAGCTCACTGTTTATTCAAAAATCCCAAATTATCTTAAACTTTTATCAGAAAAATATGTTTCTCTTTACGTATCTATTTAACGACATTAGAAGATGCATGTTTACGTTTTTGTAAAAAAATGATAATAATTCCTTAAAAGTACGACTATTTAACGACATTAGAAGATGCACATTTACGTTTTTTGTAAAAAGAAAAAAGTCCTTAAAAATACGACTGAGTATTGCATCCTAAGCTTCTTTAAATGAGCATCAAGGGTTCCCATCACACGACTGACTAGGAAGCAAGTAATTCCAAATGTGTTCTATCTGAACCAAGACATTATATTAATTGAAGTTCAACAATAAATATTTAATAATTGTTTTGATAACATTGGTGATGATCAAAGCCTAGCCTGGTTGTTAACGTATCTGAACTTTAAATCCGAGAGCTCAAGGTTTGTGTCTCGTTGTTGCATAAACACTTTCCACACTCTGGGACCGTAGGTGCGCCATAATACTGACGGTCGAATCCCAGTATTCGATACGACAAGAGTAGCAAAAAAGTTAGTGGTGGGTAATGCTGACTAGTTGCCTTCCATCTAGTCCAGATAGTCCTTGTTTATCTTTGCGCGAAAATGATCAAAAACAAACAAATAGTTCTCTTGAAAAGTCCGCAAAAATCATTTTCGGTTCCTGGTTATTTTTGGTATTAACTCTCTTAAAAGATGTGTGTAAACTCATATATAATTTTGTTTTCGATTAGTCCAGAATATATTCCAAAACTAATAGTATCTATAAACACACACGAGTCATAATCTAATGCTAGATTGTCCTCGCAATGCTTTGAGCTTTTCGTCGATAAGTGTAATGATTTTTAGACAAATCACTTTAAACAGAAATAAATGTACATAAAACAAGACAGATCTTTTTGTAGGATAATTCAAGAAACTTAAACAACAGGAACATCTTGTGACTAGTGAATTATGTTCTGACATTTGAAAGCCGTACTTAAGTTATTTACCGTATAATAGGTTAAAAAGTGCCTTAAAAGAGATGTTTATTACATCTTCAAGATCTAAGAAAAAAAATTATACTCAGCTTTTAATGACTGTATTATTAGTAGTAGTATTAGCGTAAATATAGTAGTAGCAAAAATGATGGGGCAAGTACTACCACCACCACCCCATAGTATACCCTAACCTCACATTTCATAGCTAACAGAAATGAATAAATTTTGCGAAATTAAGCTTGATCAACAAAGAGGCAGAAAAGTGAAGTCGAGGTAGTCAAACGTCGGTAAATTCCTTAGTGAGCCAAACAAAATTAAGATCATTTATGAAATGAATTCGTGGCGTATTCATCAAATATTCATTGGTAGAAATCAGTTAGATTAACAACTTCTGATATATAGAAAAGCCAGTGCGTTTTGGTAATACTACGTTCCAACAATGTCTTTTATGTCATGTTGCTTAACAACAAAAATGTAATCTAATCGAAATGAACCTCACCAGTGAAAGTATAAAATAAAATGTATAGACAAAAAACTGGAAAAATATTTGTTTATTTCTTAATCTAGAGTCTCCGTTGATTAAAG